TAAAGCTTATTAATCTCATCGGAACTAAGTCCTTTTTTAATTTTTCGTTTCAATAATATAGATCTAACATATACGATACGCCTTTGCTCTATTCTGGCAATGCATTCATTTAGATGCTTATTTGCACATTTCTCAGTATTATTGAGGATAAATACTAATAAATCGCATACAGTGCAGTAAATGTGAGATGTACGCTCCCCAAGTCTAAATTCCCCATTTTTATATTCTCTTTCAGTCATATGAATGTATTCATTCTTTGAGAAGAATCTTGGGTTATATTCGAGAAGTTTCTTAAACGGAACACGAATACGAGAACACCACATTTTTGGCGTTTCATTGGAATATCTGTAATGCAGATTAGTTAATGCTTTCACTACTACAGGATTTAAACCATATTTGTCAGTTCTAACCATTTACGGGTATAGGTGGTTTATAGTAATTTCGCTGATTTTAGTGATTTATAGCGTTTTTAGCGAATTCTAGTAATTCTTTAGCAACTTATACTAGATAATATCATCATTCAAATTTATACGGATTTACCGATTAGCGGTTAATTGATTTGTAGCTGATTTGAGAGACTACATATTGCTAAATCCAAATTCATTTTATTCGATTATAAGTATGTCAGGGATTTATATAGATCATCTCTCGGGCTAAGCTAATTTTATATTTACACGCGGTTTGTGAATCTCTCGTGATTATCAAGGATTAGCCGAAGGAGTTTCGCATGATGTATAACATAAAAATTTGTATCACCCTGCCTCCCAGACAGTTCCCGGCACTTCCTCGCAACCTTCCCGCAACTCAAATCACGAGATGAGGCAGTTTAATTTATTCGATGAGCGCATTTGTAAGAAAAATTTTGGACATGCATGTCCACTAATTACTGGGTGAGTATCGATCAAAAAATCTGGACACTAATTATGCAGTATGAGTATCGATCAAAAATTCTGGCTAAACTTTATTAATATATGTTTTCAGAACACTTTTTTTACACTATAATAGATATTGCCGGACGTGCAAGTCACAGGCGCAGTAATCTATGGCGTAGTACACTAAACTATCCCCGAAGCACTTTAGCAATTACATATTTAATGACAAAGCCGTTATAGTTGATAGTGAAAAGGTTTTAACTCTTTCTATCATAGCCTTACATCCACATTGATGCTGTCTTGCCTTTTCGCACATATGCTCAAACCCCGAGAAAAAAAAAGCTGACTTTGATCGTTACCAATGGTAACGGTTTTTGCCAAGAAAAACTTCACTTATGAATTAACTATATTATCTGACCATGAATAGTTCGCCAAGAAAAAAATCAATCAAAAAACAGGAATATAAGCATTTTCCCGATGCACACGAAAATGTGTACATGTGAATCGACCAGAGTCGTTTTATTAACACAGAATACAAATGATTCAGCTCATAGCCGTGAAATTTTGTTTTACGATTCCACTAGAGAGTGGATCTCGAGAAGACATGCAGAATTGTGCGTCAATATACGGATGACCCAAAAAAAAGCATTTGCGAGATAGAAATTTCGTAGTCTGATTTTATTAAAGCAACTGATGATCCTCTCGCAATTAGATTAGGATGGGGCACGTCCTTAAAATTAGATGAGTAAGGTTCGATTGTATCACGAGTTAAAAAAAAATCATGGCCACAATGTGGGCAAACGAGAATATTAATAAAACTTTTAAAGCAAGCCTGAAACGCGAAAAACTTTAATTTTTATTACAAAATATAATATACATTTTTTCAATGACATCACATAGAAGTTGCGTAAAAAAATTGATCATATGTTGACTAAATAAATGTAAGACTATAAATTGATTCACAATACACAATAACCTATAAAATCATTTATTCTGTTTTTTTTTCGGAGATGGTGTTGTATCTGGAAGGTTATTAATTGAAAATAAATCTTCTGGCTTTGAATATAAGCGAGCCCTCTTTACTTTTTTAATAACGCCGAGAACTTTGTTTATATCGCACTATATTGTCAGAAATAGTTAGAAAAAAACTGAAGTTGCAAGATAGACACAACTGAGATACATAAAGACATACCTTCAAACAAAGTATCTTTTTTAAGGTCATAAGACTATCTGGGACACTTGACCATGTTGTTCCTATTCGATATCTGCACATTTCATATACAAAATAATATTCAAGGTCGATATTATAATACATGGCATATATCTTGCCATTGAGGCCTATTGAATGATAAATTATTTCAATCAATTGTGTAATAACTAATATAATAAAATTTTTCTATTATTTCTAATAATTACCTCCATGCGACATTCCATGTACGAAGATATTTTTTACCTCTTTGATCGATTCTTTTGTAAATTCCAACTTTTTTAGAAGTCGGTCCAGCTGATCCTTCATTTCTCTAAATAATTTGTGTTTATATGATATTGGTTTTGAATTTTGAGGATCTTCATCAACATATGTTTCTGCACTAAAATATTCTACATCATCAACGCGAAAAATTATGTCTATTTTATGTCCAGAGGATTTTTTTTCAGATTCTTCCCTAGTTAAATTTTTGCGCATTATTGATGCCAAGGACATTTCTTCACAGCTGAAATAATAAAAAAAAAAGGATTTAAGAAACACTAAGTTAATTTAAATATTAAATAATTTATAATCTTACCGATGTACATGGATTTCTTCACATATTAAAAACAATCGTCAATTAGAGGAGCAAAAATATGACAATTTAACCACCCTTCAGAATTCTTATCTAGAAGTGGATTCCGAGGAGCTTCGAAAAATAATGATCTAGATAATAAAACCAATTTATTGTAGCCAGTCTTAATATAATAAAGCAAACGAAATGAGAACTAATTAAATAAGAGATTTAACTCACAATTTGTCAGCAAACCGGTGTACCCAATGCACCTCATAATGTTTACTGAAGGAATAAGTTTCACCAGATGGGATGAATGGAAGTAGAAGTTTATTCCGTAAGTCATTGCGGGTATCGCTCTGAAATATAGTAAGGAAGTGGTAAGATTATGAGAGAAAGAAATTACTAGTGACAAATCCTTAAAACCCCACATTTTCAATTAGTTCATCGATATATTTGGTTGCATCATTTATGACAGGCTCCCAACGGTAATCATATTGGTATTGCAGTCTTTCCATTAAATTTTTATTTGTAGTGTCAACTATGTTCGAGCAAATGGGCTCCCTAGGCCAATAAAGTTAATTAATAATATAATACGTTAACTTTAACGAACACGTTTCATCCGTTTTACCTACATTGTGGATTTTGCTCGCTGTTTCTCATTTCTTAATTGTGTAAGTAAATTTTGATTCTCCGATGTAGAGTAAATTTGATGAGATGGAGTATGTGGTCTGTTATACCCGGGATTATTAACTTCATCCATCATTTTCGTATCTCCTATGCTAGAACCCGCACTTTCTAAGGATTGTAAATTTGATGATGACGTATCTTTCCAATGTGATCTTGAAATTGTGCTCTTATTACTACTAATGAAATCACCGTCATCGTCATCCGCATTCGTGTTAGTAGTATTGACCTGTTCGCGCAACAAAGTTGATGATGATGGGTTTGGTACTCCTGGTGATGATGATGGATTTGGTACTCCTGGTGATGATGATGGCGTGTCTTTCGTGGTTTTGGCCTGTTTACGCAAAAAAAAAAAATAGAAAATTTTGAGAAGAATTCACGGTAACAAATCCTTATAATCATAGGGATGCATTTAATACTGACTTTCTTAGCTGAACCAACCGACTCTTTGTTCTGTAGATATAATAAATCATTAAAAATTATTGTATAAAATTCAATACAATATAAGGCCTTATCAACATCCTAACCTTTTTCGAAAGAGATAACTGCTTTTTCCGCTTTGGTATACGGACAGGCATGAAATCATCATCGGACTAAATACAAAGAAAGAGTTAATATCTGACAGCCAACATTTTGTCGATTCACACAACTTCTAGCAAAAAATGCACACCTCTAAACGTTCATTTAGTAATGAAGCATCTGCATCTATCTCTCGAAGATTTGAAACTTTCGAAACTTTCGAAACGATTGTATTTACATTATGTTTAGCCGTTGCGTCCAATATTTTTAGACTACCAGATATATGATTATTGATTACGGATTTCTGTTTATCAAATTATAATGAATAAAATCAATAAATGTACTAGCAATAGAGCAAGCAAAATTGTAAATAATCTTGACTTACTTGTCCTTTTTCATTGACAATATTTTGCCAATGATACATTAAGGACTTATTCGAAATTTCTGATTTCACCTGTTATGGAAAATAATTAATTAGTAAAAATATTTTTGTGAATATCAATCATAGCGAAGCCCATAAAAACGCAATGATGGCGCCCAGCCGATCACCAGATACTCCAAAGTCAACCGATCACCAACTCAGGAGCGCAACCACCATCACTTGGGCCAGCCGATCACCGAATACCCTTAATCAACCGATCACCAATTAAGAGCTCCCTTTTATTTATATTAGAAAAAAGGAATAGTAAATAAAACCTTTGCATGTATATCATCGTATTTTTCAGGAATAATATCTTTTACGCTTCTTAAGAATCTCATTTCCCATGCAGTTTCTAAACCACTCCAGTCATCAGTATTCGGTGGAGAGTCTATAATCATTTCCTTGTAAAGGTCTACGAACTCGCGAAATGAACAAGTCTCGTTATGATTACTTATGTAAGAACAAATGGCTAAAGAGATGGTTGGTTAGTAAGCTTCTAAAAGAGAATACTAAGGAGTCACCATGCAATTAGAACTTACACGTATAGCCTTGATAATATTCTGACATTTTTGAAAATTGGAAATGAGGAGCGGAATAAGGACTAATATATATTGAGAATCAATTGTCGTACAATCAGATCCATAGTCATATGATAATCAATCTTACACAAGCCAGAGACCCGGAATTATTCCGATATCAAATCACAAATTTTTATCACGATAACGGGAAAAATTCCGATTTTATTCCGATAAAAATTACCAATTATGGTAAGAAACATTTGATAATTCTAGCCGGCTCACATCTTAATGCAGGCTGATCTAAGTTACGATAGTGACACGACAATAATTTTGGCCAAAAATGATCAAAATGATTGACATTTACCGGAATTCTTACAAATTCCATCACGATAAAGTCAAGAATACTACAATAACGATTGGTTAGTTGTCACGTGTCGGAATAAAATTATTAAAATTCATAAAAATTCCGTTTTATTCCATTATACGGCAAAAATTCCATTTTATTCATTAATTATAAAAATGGAATAATTCCGGGTCTCTGACACAAGCCACCCATTCAGATAGCGCGAATCATTTTTATCGCTTCTTGCAGAGCTTGCTTAAAAGTCTGGCAAGACATTTTTTAACTTAGATCAGATCTTTACCGATTTTTTACAAAGAAAAAAAAATGATACTTTATTAATGATCTTTCACGAATCAGAAAATGCTAGAGAAGCAAGCGAAATAATATGATGCTATCAAAGAGGGAGGGAGTACGCGGATCCTAGGCCATCTAATGCGAGTCCCAGCATCAAGTTATTTCTTCGCTCTCTCACGTTTAAGAAAAATATCTATAACTAATTTGTTTCTATTGCTAATATTTCTAATTACAAGATTCTCATCCCTATACTCTTTTTCTACATTAGATTTTCGAAATAAATTATCCCACTCATGTCTACAGGATTTTTGTCTATCTATATCTCTCACAAACACGCAGATTATGTAAAATAATATTCCCCGTAATGAAACTTCTCGGAGATTAAGTAATTTCGAATCTATGGATAAATTCGGGAGATTAGCAACTGAGGTAAAAAAAATATTTCCGATTCATACTTACCATTATTATTAATTTTTGTAACATTACATTTCGCCTGAAATTTATTACTTAATGCATTACAATAAAGGTAATTCGATTTTTTTATTGCTCGTACGATACTGCGCCAAATACCAAGAATTATTATTGTTAACACATTGCGCCAAATTTTGTTGAGAAGTGTGATGTTAAGGCATGTGATGAGATTCATGTGAATAGTTTCACTGCGTCTATTGTACGCGTGATTGTCAAAGATTTCTTGGCAAAGATCAAAATGCCGATATATAACAAGAAGAGTAATATGCCCGTTTTATTTTGGAACATCTATAGAGGCAGGAAAATCAATAAACATCGTGATGACATGTTTCAAGAAGCTAGCTGAGCAATAAACTAACTTACTTTATTATGACTTTGTGGAAAATTCAAGTTCGTTTGATTGTTAATATCAATGATTTTAATAATGGTAAGCTTGATTGATTTGAATTTTTTTTTTGCTTGATTTTTATTTTACTTGCATGAGGCAGATAAAAGGATTCACTAACAGGACATCACCTTTTTATATAATTTGCAGGATCAATCTTGGAGTACGCTTGGTGAAAAATTACATTAATATGATCGCATCATGAAAATCTGATCAACGTCTTCTCTTTAATTTAACAATAGTATATATATAAAGATCGTCAGGGAGAGTTTTTATTAATAGATTTCATTGAGTACATGCGGGAAAGTTCGAGAACAAATACTATACTATGGTTATAAATAAGTTATAACTAATAACCGTAGATACTGCGATTTATACAAAAATAAATTACAAGAATCGAGAGTTAATCTGTGATATATAACAAGAATTATCCTATACATTGTACTAATACAAATATCCTATCATTAATTCTATAATCCATTTCATTTGTGCTTTTGTGATCCTCAAAAATCCCGGAACGAAAAATACCATTAGCCGAGTCGTTTCATTGAAATGCATTGTCACAACCGGAGTACTCCTACCTTAATTGCGGAATGTTTCATATGAATTTTTTTTCACCAATTTTTCATATTGCGGTACGATGCCCTATCTTTGTATTTGCAAGACTTCGGAGCATTCAGTAAGAATATCATACTGTGCATTTCAGGTGATCAGTCTCACATGACGGAGTTTTTATGCTACGATCGCGAATTTGAATTTATTGCTTGAAGTGAAGCAAGTAAGACAATATTCTGTTCCATTTTTATACCATTC